CGAAGAAGAATTTCTACGCAAGACATTAATTTCTAATGGATATCCTGAGAAGTTTATTCAGGTACACAGCAGACCTCCCAGCGTGAAAACACCGGTGTTGACAGCTGAGAAAAAGAATATTTATTTGTTCTTGCCGTTCAAGGGGGACCATGTGGCAAATGACATCGGACGCAAGCTCCGGTCCGCCCTAACGCGAACCTACACGACAGCCCAGTTGCGACTCAGGCATACCACGTGAGCTCTTGTTCTTCATAACCGTCAGAGCATCTCGTCGGGTAGTTCGGCCTCTCACGTTGTTTATCAGTTCACCTGCGGTTGCGGTGACATTTACATAGGCAGAACAAACCGTCAGTTAGCTCAGAGGGTAGCTGAACACTTGCCGAAGTGGTTGGGACAAGTGAGTACGCAACAACATGGGACGAATCTGAGAATCAATCGGAGCCCGGCATCGTCTATCACCAAGCACCTCATGACAACCCGTCTTCACGTAAATCCCGAGACAGCGTTCAAAGTGTTATTAGGTAACAAAAACCCGATAATGCTAGCAATTAGTGAGGCGTTGTTAATTGAGGCTTATCAACCTGTGCTATGTGCACAGAAACTCTTGAGGCGATCCATTCGGTTGCCATGGTCTTGACTGTGACATTTTGATTGGTGGTGCCTTTTTTCCCATGTATATAATCCCTTATATGTTTCTGATCGTATTGTGTTTGCGACTGAAGAGAACAATCGAAATGTTGACATATCGCAACCTCTGTCTTCTCTCTGCCTTAACGAAATGGCTGAAGGGGACCCACTGTTTTACTTTTCTGAAAAGGAACGAAATAAGCAAAACTGCAATCGCCCAAATTCGAAAATATCCATGGTGGTTTTGCAAGCAGCACCAAATTCACGACTCGCTGTGATTATGTTCCCCTTTGCATCATATCTGTTTTTGTTACTCCAACCAATTAAGTGATTTATCATAGCAACTTAGATGAGCATGCTCCAAACTGGAGTTTACTGTAATCGACTGACTCATCCGTGCGCGTAAGCAGTGTGATATTCCTCGGAAAAGCAAACAAATGAAAACCTCAGAATAGTAATACATCGACATTCGAGCGGTAAAACAATGTGCAAAAGCACATTTACACACTGGCAAAACACAGGGAGATGATCCAGATGAGAACACCTTAGATCGGTGTGCCCTATCAGCAGATGACTGCGATAAAGTCACCAACCGTTCCCTAAACGACAATGGTGGAGAAGTGTGACATCACCATCATGTCAGCTGGAGTCGAGATATACCTTAGCTACATTGCCGCAATACAATGCAGTAAGGGCAAAAAAACGAAAATAGAAAAAAGTGAAATACAAGGAATATTATGGATTTTCAGTATTACCCACAGAGAGATCGTCGTTGTAGGGGGAGGTAAACGAGCAGTTGTTGCGGGAACGTCAAGTAACTCCGCTAAATTCGTCACAAACCAGTGCGTGGGCTGCGCCGCGCAGAGTTTAATTCCTGCACACAAGGTAGCAGAATCCAGCCAGTCCGAGTCGGGGCGCAACTCGGCAAAAGTGAACAATGTTCCTTCGTAAACCACGCGCCCTACGTGGTAATTCATTTCACTCACAAAATGAACCATTGTGACAACTGCGATTCGGCCATTGTGCGTCGCAAAGGAACTCTCAGAGGTCCACTACGTATTCTTTTCGCCCTCTTGTGCGCTGGTTGAGAATCGCGTGGTCATGTGACTATGTGTGCTTCGTTTCGCCGGTTGCCGCGTGTGAGTCTGTTTCTCGCGTCTAGTCCCCCGGTCGTGTGTGTATCGTTGTCTGTCTTCGAAGCCTCAGCCTTACCCGAATACGTGCGTGAATAGGGACCCAGCTCAGGTTACGCGTAACTTGCGGATAAGCTAACGCTACCAGGTCTGCGCAAATCCATCACAGAAGTGGAAGGACAAAGCAACCCATAGGCAAAGGCCATTCTGGTGGGCTTTTTTTACAGTGCATAGTGTGTGACTATAGGATCGTATAAAAGTTCCTTAAGTTTTTGTTCCAAGGTCACAGAATCTTGAAAAACAGTAATACATTTTATCCCGGTGGGATTCTACTTTCAAGCATTTTTGAGTGAGTCCACTGCGACATTCTGTGATCATCGATAAAGTGTCCGTAGTAACTACACTTTCATTTTCTACGCCTTTAGTTGGCCCCTCCTCCTTTCGTGATACAAGTAGAGTGTGCTAGCTAGAAAAAATGCCAACGAACCTGATGATGTCAACCGTCTCCTGAAACAACTGCTGGGACGGCGTTTGATCGATCGTAGTAACGTTTCAATGACCCAACGGAAGTTTATACTTTCATCATGAACCCGGATAATTCCCTGGATGTTCCCTATGGAATACATGCACATTAATTACTATGCTTCTACTTTATAAACTTGCAAAAGCGTTTTTGTTTCAATTTAGAACGCTATAATGCAGCAAAAGGTAAAATATCACGATCTGCCCTGGGGCTGACTACATCTCGAATTGTCAAGAAACAAACTATATTTATACCTGCATTGCGCACCTTACTGGGTGATAGTCCGTAGTCCGTCAAAACATGGTTAACGCCGGTGTGGTCGTCAATCCATGTGTAGATCACGGGAGGACACCATGTCGGATAGGGGTCAAAAAGTAAGCCTGTGGCACACTTGCATTTTTTCGTGCCCAATAACCACCCCAACTGACGAAATAATAGTTGTTATTATTATTGGCATCATTATATAGGCCACTTGTGTCCACAGCGCTGAATCAACTGCACTTCGCTGCAGAAAACGGAGTTTGACCAAACTGTAGTGGACCCCAAATTAAAAAAGATTTGTTTTGAAAAATTGAAGGAAGCAGCGTAGAACAATGCGTTAGCACAAGGATCAGAGAGACCCCAAACGGTAGGACTCATTGCCAAAGTTCAGTGTATTAAAGTACTACTGTAGAATCATACATTGCGCTGAACTAAAAGAACTTAAACCACCAGATTATGCGCAGTTGATATAGTGTGGATCCGAATGAAGCAACTTGTTTTAGCTGTTTGAGATGATCTGCTTTTTTGAAGAACAGTGAATATAGGGATTTGGAATGAATTTCGAAGGTGGCTCCCGTTACAATCGCGCTGCCAACTAGCCACTACACACATCCCGGGAAGCATTGGAGATGACGGCTTCGTCTGTTTGTGATCGGTCGCAACGCACATTCCATTTCTCCCCTGTGGAGGTCTAGAATCTTTGACCCGAATCCTAGGCCAGTTGGTTAAGACCACTGGGCCACGGGAGATGAGCAGTAATCAGCATGAACGAAGTACCTAGCACGACACTTATCGTCCGTTAATACGAACATATCAGACGTGCGGAAGAAAGGGACGAACTCCTGAAACAGCGCGATTGTCCGGCGATAGCGGAAGTGCGTTTGGGTGATTACTATCTTCTAGAAATAAGTGAAAGGAGGAAATCAGATTAAATTTCGTTTCACTACTGTGTTCAAAAAGAAAGCGAACTTTTGTAATAGCGAACCAACTGACAAAGGTAGCGCCCTGCGGCAACTACGCGCACGTAGAGGCATGTTTAGACAACAAATTGCCATTTGCCGCGTTTAGCTCTGATGGTTAGTTGGCCAGCTACAGCCACTGAAGTGAGCCCTTGCACAAACTGCTCGTCGGATTAGTGTCAAGGTAGCAATGAAAGATCTCGAAGAACATTGTGTGCGTGTGTGGTTTTGTTACGAACGTGTGAAAAAATTTACAAAGACATTGCACTTGATCAGCCAATCATACGAAGACAACATGAGTTTCACACAGTGCTTTGAGCAGTTTAAGCGTTTCGAACCGTGGTAGTATGTCGGTCGGTGAGTACCCCAAGTTTGGACGACATTCCGCATCAACAGACGATGAGCATATCGAGAGGGTTTGTATGCGACCCGTAGAAATCCTCCTTTAACTGCTCGAAAAGTCACTGGTGAAGTGGGTATCAACTAGGATCATGTCATCCACTACTGGGTGACAAACTTGAGATGCATTGTGTCAGTACGGATTTGGATGTTGCGTCATCATAACGCGCCGGCTCACGAATCGCACTATATTCGCAGCTATCTAGCAACACATCAAATTCCAACTCTCTTGCATCCATCGTAACATCTTGACCTAGACCCAGCAGACCTATTCCTGTTTCCTTTCTTCAAAATAACGCCGAAAGATCATCTCGAAAACATAAAGGAGATTAAGAACAATGCGGCAAAAGAGCTGCCTGTCATCCCAGAAAATGGGTTCCAAGAAACTTTCCAAAAATGGAAGCACGGTTGAAAAAGACACATTGAGGGGAATAATGGTTTTGCAGTGAGAAATAAAGACGTCATAGAAAAGTTAACTTTAAGTTTGAACACGGTAATATGTCCCAATGAGTGGCAAGGGTTAGGATCATGCGGGGACAGTGAAGCAAGAGTACTACAAAGAAGGTTTTGAGCTGTTCTCTAAAAGCAATAACAATTTTAATGCTTGACGAGGGTTGTTATATATATATATATATATATATATATATATATATATATATATATATATATATATATATATATATATATATATATATATATATATATATATTAGTGTTGTCGGGGAGGAGATAAGAATTCCACGGAAAATCCATTAATTAAGCGGTTTATCGATTTTGAAAGTTCTGGAATCTTCCAGTGTCTGCACGTGATTAGTAACCTTCTGAAGATCGGCCAAACCTACGTGGAACAACTAACCTTGGCGGCTGACCTTCCTATTCCAGAAACTGAAGGTCAGTAAGGAACCTACAAATACAGCCAAGGTCCGCTGTATTTGTACAGCGTTTTGTTGACGGCGGTCAACGCGTTACTTAGTCAAGGTAACGGGCGTTCTGCTTTTTCCTTGAGTTGGGCTAGTAATTTTGTGTAGCAGTAAAGTGCCGACTTCAGAATCGCGTCTAGTAACAAGGGAATAACAAATGCCAAAAGAAAAAATGGAAATGTGAGCAATATTTACGCTGAACAATTTCAAAAGCTGCTTTTACAACAACCACAAATAGAGGCACAAATGAAAACGATCGAAAATTTGACATAATGTTTAGGTTTACAGTCAACAGGAGCAGCGAGCCAGGACAAGCAGGCGAGTTCCATTGATCCTCTCACGAATGCAATTACTGAATTCAATTACGATGCAGGCATTCCATGCACATTCGAAGCGTGGTTCAAGCGCTGGGAAGACATGCTCCCGACGGACTTCATTCATCAGGCGGAATCCTGGAAGGCGCGATCCCTACTCCGCAAGGTCTGAAAAAATGCACATTGCTTGCAAAAGAAATTTTCCGATATTTCACTTTACGCACCTACAATTATAAATCATAAGTGTTAGTTGAATAGGCTGTTGAAAGCGGAAGCAGAACATTAGGCAGCCAACTAAAAAAGACAGTATAAAAGATCGATCAATGCTTTGTTCAATTTGAGTAGGCCACATACGAAGACACACTTGACCATGGCTGGGTAAGTAATGTTGAAAAGAGTTTAAGCAGATTTTGACAAGATGCAATCCCAAAAGAAACATTCGTGCTGGAGGAGGCAAAAATCATCAACATTTTAAGAGAATGAAAAATGACAAAGCATATAGATGCTTCACTTTTCTCCAAGCTGACTCCACATGGCTCACATCCTCTACGAGTCTATGGATTGCCAGAAGTTCACAAAACCAACACTCCTATGCGACCAATAGTCGATGTCATCCTCAGCTTCTCACTCGGTCGCAAAATAGATAACTGAAGTGCTCGAACCAATACGCAAGTAGTGTCGATTATACAGTGACAGATAGGTTTGATTTCGTCAAACGAATAGAAAACTTAAACGTGAAAGATAAAGTGATACCTTCATTTGATGTCGAGTCGCTGTTCACTAACGTACCGTTGATAAAGACTGTAAATTTCATCTGTGACTACATCACTGAGAGAAACATAGTTGTTGGAATTCCAGGACAGAAGCTGAAAGAATTGAGCCAAAGTTGCATCTTCCACGTGCAGTTTGTGTTTGATGGGATCTATTACAGGCAGATTGATGGAATCGCCATGGGTTCACCTGTAGGCCCCCTCTTGGCTGACATCTTCCTTGCAACGTGCGAACGTGGACCCCTGGAGTCACCTTATGGCTTCACTCGATTCATATCACCGGCACATGGATGACACATAGCTTGTCTGTAACTTATCCCTCGATTGCATCAGTCTACTAGATCAGTTTAACCGAGTGCATCCCGCATTGAAATTTACCAGTGAAGTTAAAATGATGACCGTTTGGCCTTCCTAGATGTTCTGTTGCACCGACGCAAAGATGGAACGATCGAAAGGAGCGTTTTCCGCAAGGCGAGGTGGGTAGGCCAATACACCCACTTTCTCAGTTTCGTACCTTTGAGATATAAAAGAAATTTAGTTCGTTGCCTGTACCACCGTGCCAGAGCCATCTGCAGCCCCGAGAAGCTTGAAAGTGAAACGAAGCTCATTTTTAGCACGCTGCAAGAAAATGGGTATTCAATTACTTTCATTAGAAAACCTTCCGTGCCACCCGATTCCATCGAATCTGTAGCTACAGTACCATAAAAGAATGTTCTCCTTATAGTTCCTGTTAAAGGTGATATCGCCTTTGAACTGTTGGGACGAAAACTTTCAACCGCAGTTATCCAAACATTTCAAGTTATCAAATTGACACTGCTTGGTGAAACAAGATCACTTATTCCTCGGCAGCTAAAGGACAAACTCCCGGTCCGGTCCGAATCGTTCATCGTATATCAATTCACTTGCACCTGTGGTGCAAGATATCTTGGACATACGACCAGGTGCTTGTTCAAACGGATCGCTGAGCATTGTCCGGCTTCACTGTAAAAAGGCACAGTGAAACGCATCAACAGTTCCATTCTACATCTAATGGAAACTGGACACCGAGTGCGGATGAATGAAGCTTTTTAAGTCATCTACTCCATCCCAAGACGCTACCCAAAGCATTTAAAGAAACATCTATTGGTAATCGTCGAAGCCATTGCCATTAGAGTCCTGAAACCAGAACTGTGCAAACAGCGAATGCTGGTACAAACCCTGATTTTGCCCTGGCCTTGAACCCCCTTGTTAACATTGCTTAAGCAGTTTTCAACATTACTTACCGAGTCATGGTCAAGTGTGTTTTCGCATGTGGCCTACTCAAACTGAACAAAGCATTGATTGATGTTTTATAGTGCCTTTTTGAGTTAATCGTCTAATGTTCTGCTTCCGCTTTCACGAGTCTATTCAACTAACACTTATAATTTATAACTGCAGGTGCATGAAGTGAATTATCGAAAGAAAATATTTTTTGCTAGCAATTGTTAACTTCTCAATCTATGGGTATAATTTAGAAAAAGTAAACATTCAAGAGTCGTAGACCACATTCTGCCCAAACAACCGGAGGGTCTGACGTTAGAAGAAGCGGTGTCGCAGCTGAATGAAATTGTTGTTCAGTCAGTCTCTGTTTAGTATTCGATATCAATGCCTGAAAATTGTCAAACGGGAATCGGACGACTTTGGGGCCCTAGCAGACATGATTAACCGTGAGTGTGAGCTTTCAAGCTACGCTCTTTAACGGATGATCAGCTTAAATGTCGCATTTTTGTCAGCGCTCTATAGTCTCCCAGTGATGCTGAGATAAGCACGGCGCTATTAGGTAAGCTGGATCAGGATCCCGATCTGGCACTGAAGACCCTGGTAAGCGAATGCAAACGGCTGCTCACTCTAAAACGCGACACCGCCCTGATCGTACAAAACAGTCTCGCACCACCAGATACCGTGCACTTCGTGAAAAAGGCCAGGACTGTCAGCTCAAGCAAACCATTCAAGAGGGCCACGAACAGCATGCTGGTCATGCAGCGAATGGCATTTCGCACGCTTTTGCCCGTTCAAACGTCATATTTGTGAAAGGTGCCATAAGCGGGGCCATAAGGAGGAATTCTGCAGTCAGGTCTGGCCGAAGAACGTGAAGAAGTCTTATCGAAGGAGGAATACTAGAAAGGATGGCATACAGTCTGTTCATAGTTGACGCATTCCAAAGGGACTGTAAACGGAGACGATGATTTATCAGCATGTTGATCAATGGGATTCCAACGAAACTGCAATTCGACACGACTTCGGACATTACGATTATTTCCAGAAACATATGGAATCACATAAGAAGGCCAAAGATGGTCAAGTCTCACAAAGTTGCTCAGAATGCATCGGGAAGTGTGCTAAAATTGGTGGCCGAACTTACTTGCAAGATTGCATTCAAAGGGGTGGAAGAGTCGGGAACGTGATACATTTCGGACCAGCCGAAGTTGAATCTTCTTGGTCCCGATTGGACTGAAAAGTTTCAACTCCTTGATGTTTCTTTGAATCAGATTTACAATCGAGTCCCAGCAAGTCCAGACCCATCATCGAAAACTGTCGAAGACATAACAAGTTCGCTGAAGCGAAAATTTGCTTCCGTCTTACAGGACGGCTTGGGCCATTGTACGAAATTCAAGGAGACGCTGAACCTGTGACCAGAAGCCAAACCCGTATTTAAGGCTAAAAGACCGGTACCATATGCAGCTATGCCAGCCGTTGATCAAGAACTCGATCGACTAGAATGCGCAGGAGTCATCATAGGCGTCAACTACTCACTAGGGGCCGCACCTATTGTCGCAGTGAAAAAACGCTTTGCAAAGCTTGATCTGTCCGATGGTTACCTTGAAGTGGACTTCGCCGAAGATTCGAGGGAGTTGTTGACAATCAACACTGATCATGTGCTATTACAATACAACCGCTTATCCTTTGATGTGAAAACAGCGTCAGCCATTTTCCAACAGTTGATGGATACCATGCCAGCGGCCGTTTCTGGAACCGCTGCAGATCTGGATGATATCATAGTGATGGGTCGAACACCAGAACTATTTAACCGCCTGGATGAAGTGCTTGGTTGTATTCGGTCGTACAGTCTCCGGATCCACGGGGATAAATGCTCATTTCTTACGCCAACCATCAAATACCTCAGCAAATGTAGAAGCCATAAGAAAAATGCCTCCAACAACGGATCTACAGTCCCTGCGTTCCTTTTGTGGGATCATCAGTCACTACAGTGCATTCTTAGCTGAGATGCACCGCATGCGTGTCCCGCTAAACAAGCTACTAGCCAAAGGTCAAACTTGGAACTGGACATCAGAATGCCAGAATGCCTTCGAACGGGTCAAGACATTGCTGTCCTCAAACTTGCTTTTGACTAATTTTGATCCCTCCAAAGAGATTGCCCTAGCCACAGATGTATCAAGCCATGAGATTGGCGCAGTAATTTCATACATGCACTCCAATGAATCGCAGAAAGCAATCGCCTATGCCGCCGGAACACTTAGAAAGTCCGAGGGAAATCACAGTCAGATCGAGAAAGAATCATTGCCTATAGTGTGCGTAAAAGCAAAAAATTGTTTTTCACTTTTTCATCGCACCGTGTTTCTGATCTTTTCTACTGTTTTCTTCTGATGACACAATGTCAGTTAAGAGACTGTGAATATAAAAAACGATTATCGCATCAATTTCGAGAGTTCTGGAATATTTCAGTGCCTGCACATGACTAATAACCTCCTGAAGATGGGCCAAATCTACGTGGAACGACTAACCCTGGCGGTTGACCTTCCTATTCCAGAAGTCTGTAAGGGACCTATAAATACAGCCAAATTTCGTTGCAATTTTGTTTTGTTGACGGCGGTTAACGCGTTATTTAGTCAAGGTGACGGGCGTTCTGTATTTTCATTCGGTTGGGTTAGTATTTTTGTGGAGCAGTAAAGTGCCTATTTCGGAAGCGCGTATAATGAGAAGATTATGACAGGTGCAAAAATCTGATACGAACTGATCATCTTATCCACTCCCAAGAGATTAACTAAGCTCAATGATTGGGGTTTCTTTAAAGTAATCGTTGTGCGGATGTATCGCGATGCGCAATTCCATTTGTAGCGAAAAACGGTCAATGCGGTCACTGAAACCGTAGCTGAGAAAAAACACATATTTGATGTTGTCGGCTCGAGGTTCATTTAAAACTGAGTCAGTTAGGATTGGGATTGCCTATCACAATAAGTGCCTCAAAATGGCCCATATAATGAGGCAGCACCTATGTTACCGCCTCTACCCAGTGCTTTGCGGTTAGATTCTTCGGTTGACATACCAACGTCCCGGTGGTTCCAGTCGCAATGCGGTCGCCTTAATGCGATGTGTACGAAACCGATCTTGGAGTGCACCGCAGTGGTGAGTGACAGCTAACATGGTTGGTGGCATCCGGTTTCGGATTTGCCTGTCACTGTGGCCAGCCACAAGACATGTGCGCCTACAGAGGGACCATGGATAGCTTGCGCTGCACCAACCACAGCTTCATCCACACACCCCATATCCTGTATAAACCCAAAGGAATAAGACCGGGAGGCATGCGGATGGGAGCTACGTTTCATCAACAGAGCGGGCCCACACTGCTTCACAGGCAAACACAAGCACGCTGTATTTGGGAATCAAGCGCACACAAGGCGGTGGCTGGACCGTAGTCCGCTCCACGCAGAGTGTATGGAACCACTCTTCGAGTCTACCACGACTACAAGGAACGTGCACTCCGTCCCCTCCAGCAACGACCAACTAGCTCCTAGAGCCAGTATGGACGAGGTAGTGGGTAATAGGCACGTTGTCAACATGCATATCAAGCGCACGCACACCGGGGATGTCAAACAACAGCCAATCACCTCAAATCGTATTGTCAAATAAAATATATCTGTTAAAGAATACGGCTATGCAGACATAACTCTGCGCTAAATTAGCATATGAAGTAACCTGGTTAGCAATCAATCCACGATAAGTATAAAAGTCCAGACGTTACACAAAAAATGCTACAAACGCAATAAAATTAGCGAAGATAACCACAATTAGCGTAAACAGCGTGGCCAGTTAATGGAAGATTAGTCAGGTAGGCAGAACAAACCAAATAAAGTGGAATGAAATTTATCCAGCTTAAAGAGACCTAGTTTAAGTGTAAGTTGGTTTAGCCCAACTGCGGTGAAGAAGTACCAAGAAGGCAACATCAGCCTCAGCATGTACACCCAGTTCTAGGCCGTTGACTCACTGATTGACATAAGTGCATTATTTGCTAGCCGACGCTTGTGCATATCTTGACTCCCTGGAATCACCTTATACCTCCTTCACACCAAGCTAAATCGGAATACAACTGAGATAAATCCCTTATGCTACAACTAGCCGCATAAAATTAAATCGTGCCTTGAAAATATACGTGTTTGCATCCCAGACAAATGTTTGCTATTCTTGGTTCTTCTCTTATCACAGTTTAGTTGAAGAAGAGAAGATGCAGTGTATCACGCTCAGTCTGGCTGGCGTAATAGGTCCGGCGTCGTCACTGTCCTGTTCCAACACGCAGTGTGACGGTGACTTGCAACTCTTCGTCTTTTCTATACTACAGTCTTACGAGTACACAATGGCCCTTGACACTTGTAGCAAGTAACCGCGGGATCAAGGAAGTTGACGGCATTGGACTTTATCGCCCTTGCCCACGGGAAGCAGTCGCCGCATCTCAGCAGTATTTACCACCTGCAAACGCGAATTCAAGCATACACATAATTTGTTCGGTAAACGAACGTCCCACGTCTCATTGCGATGGTAATAGGTTCCAATGTTGTGCATTGACTTTGGAGGATCTTTGACCCGCTAACGTTAACTGAAGAACGCATCGTTCAGCATTCAAATCCACCGTCAACAGATTGTTGAATAAGTAAAAACCAAAAAGGTAGTAATTTGAGACATAAAGAACTGTAATCATAATAAGTGCATCATCGAGTTCACTCGCTGCCTCACAGCCATGATAAGATGTGAAACGTATCAATCGACATCTTAGCATCTACGGATACAGAGGAAGCAGCAGCTGAAAGCGATAAGTATTTGACTTAACAATGGTGGAGTCACTGGTTCCACTTTTGTAATGGAATGTGACCAAAAACCTGTCTGGTCAAAGCCGTAAAACTGCGGCTAAACCGTAGGGCTGGTAGCAATGAGTTCTTACCTTGCTGAGGAAAACCAAGAGCTCTGCGTGCATCATAGCCATCAGTTGGTCACTCGGTTTACAATCGTTCAATAAGACCACGTAGATATTGAGATGATCGGAGGCGCCTACAAAAGGAAATGAGTGTTAGCTTGGACAGAAGACGGCAAGAAAAACTTTTGTCGGGAAACCCAAGACAAACAATTCATGCAGGTCGCGTCTTAAACGAAGTTATGTTCCGTCGGAATGAAACTCATTCGACCAAGCCACGGCTGCTTGTTGTATCCGTAACAAATCTCACCGGATCTCAAAGGTGAAAAAGCGAAGGCGATAAAGGTAAAGCTGGTTCTAGTCGCCAAATCGACAGAACACGCCACCATAGCACAAAGGAAACCATTTGGGTGTGATTGAAAAGCACCATCTCGTGGTTGACTGTTTCTGAGAATCATGATAGGAAGTCGAGTTGGAAGACAAAAACGTAGTCGTTGTGACATACTCACTGTCTTATAGGCCAAATGCTACTTATGAGTCAGTGTACCGATATCCGTGTCGAACAGTTCCCAGGAGGAAGTACGGAGTACGACTAGTTAGTTGCCGGGATAGATGAAAATGACAATCTGTAAATCGAGCTATTGTGAATAAATGCGGTGCTGCGATACTAATTTGTTGTGGAGTTCACATAGCTTGGCCTAGACAACAGTAGCACCACGCGACGACTCTAACTGCGTAGGTAACAACTAAGGTCCCCACAGGACACTGTCGTCCCATGCCAAATTGAGTTCAACTGAGTTTTCCTCTAGGCACCACCACTACGTGACAACTTATGTGCCTTTCCATCAACTTCCGTCATCCATAGTTGGTGTTCCGTTGTTACACTAGTTGGCTATAAACACGAAGGCTGATTCGGTAAACCAACTTTCATATTAATCAGTCTTTCAATCCTGGGTCTCTGTGCAGTCATACGGGGTGACGCGTTTCCTCTCCAGTAGTCTCAGCTCGCGTGCATATACGTCTAGCGGCTAAGTCAGTTAGGTCGTACCGATCTGAATCTAATTAGCAATTGTGTGCGTGTGGTGAGGCGGTAAAAAGCGTTCGGTCCATTCCGGTTAGGAGCCGAAACAATCAGGACGTGTTACAACATAACTATTGTCCTGCACAGTAACCGGTAACAAGCAGTTCATCGCGAACAGCCGAAATATAGAAACAGAACTACCCACCGAATACCTGTATTTGTCAATCGAGTCCAAAGTAGCTTCCAGACGATTTTAAAACAGCAGTAACCCACATGCAAACATCAACAAATAGTGACTGCACCTCCTGCTAACTTTTCTTCTAAAATTCCCAGCTTAGTTGGCAGCAGCCTTAATGCCACCAATCGAACCATCTCCAGTTATCTTCCTGCACCACGCACGGTTTCTTAAAAGGCCACGCTATCCCGTTTACTTGGTGGCGCTCAACGTTCGCATTCTAAGACAAATAGGTCAGCGGGCTGCACTCGCACACACGTTGGACACACTGGATGGTGACTTGTGTTGCGTATCCGAAGCTAGAACCAATGACTCACACAGTGTTATTGAATTAACTGCACCCGACTTGTCCTCTCGCTATTGGTTGCACGCATCCGGAGACGCTGATGCGGCAACCATTGGTCAAGCTGGGGTAGGCATTGTTCTCAGCTTTATGGCCGAGACACCGTTGGTTGATTGGATTCTCGTGAGCAGCCATTGGTGTGCAGTCCGGTTGACAACATCACGAAGTAGTATAAGACGCTGTGGATTGTTGTGGTTTCTGCTTATACCCCCACCGACTGTAGTTCTGATGCTGCCAAACACACATTCTAAAACGAACTGAACACGCTTATTCGCAGTGGCATTCCGATTACTGGGGATATGGATGCGCAAGTAGATCGCTTGGGCAGTTCAGAAGCTCATCTGAGTGGGCTTAACTTCGAACGGAGGAACAACGGCGAGTGTCTGTTACAGCTGTGTGCGGAGCACGGGCTGTTTGGTAGTAGCACCGCTTTTAGGCACAGTGAGTGAAAAGTAACTCTTGGCGTCCACCAAGAGCTGACCAGCAATGAACCTAAATAGATCACATTACCATAAGTTACAGGTGGCGTGGTTCCATCCTGTGATTGTCAGTCATTCTGGAGTACTTGCGTCGATTCCGATCATGCCATGGCAAGCTATCGTTTTTCTATGGATATTACCAGGAAGAGCATCAAGCGTACCCCTCGATTGGTGACAGAGAAAGCATCTTAGCCCTTGGTCAGGAAGCTCACCAGGATACACGGTGAACCGAACTTCCACTCTCTTATCCTAATGGCCGAGCTCCAGTGGAATAGGATCTCGGCCGCCATGCAAGACGAAGCAGCATCTGCTTGTGGAACTATCAATCGTCACTGCACCAGTCACTGGATATCCGAGACGTCGGTGAACCTGTTGGAATCCAGAAAACTCCTGGCTGGCTGGAGCACAATACAACTAGGCGGACTATTAGACGCGAAGGCTAGTGGCGCAAGAAATAGAGAAAACGGGAGCAGAAGGCAATGATCATAAGTTATTCCAGCTGATCCGCACTATTGGTCCCAGGAAACCACGCGTCCGTGAGACAATCAGAGACATCGCAGGTGCACTGATTCACAATAGGGAACACTATAGTTGGGCGGAGCACTTCAAGATCAGTTCAGTTGCCCCTCTGCTTCCGGACTTATTCGTAATTAGGTGATGCAGGGTGAGCCATGGACGGTTCGTTTACATGCTTCATCACAGGCTGAGGTAGGAAACGACTGAAACTTTTAATCGTTTTTGTGCTGCTGGCCCAGATTCACTCCCACATGCAGTAGTTAAGGATGGAGGTGAGGTCATATGCAACGCAGTGTCCTCCCTGTTCGAACATGTATGGAAGGAATCAACCATCCCGTCTAACTGGAGAGAACCAATTACAGTGGAAATATACAAAAAGGGCTGTCGCACCAACTGTGCTAACCATAGGAGTGTTTGTCTAATGCCAGTTGTGTCAAAAGTGTAGGCCTCAATTCTCGTTCGTCGCCTCACTGTGGAACGGGAATCTCGGATTCGGGGAGAGCAGGTAGGTTTCCGTCCAGGACGGGGCTGTATAAGCTACATATTCTCTGGAGCAGGTGCTAGAGCAGCACCACATGTACCGCAGGCCGACAATAGTTGTGTTTCTCGATATCAAGAGTGCATTCGATTCAGCTGATCGATGCATTCTGTTCGATATACTTGCTCGGAAAGGTTTTACCATGAAATAGGTGAAAATTTTACGTGCTCTATACTAGATATTCAATACGACTAATAGTGCAATTAGCATAATGTCACAACTTGTGGGAAATACAATGAACAAACGGAGGGAAAAAACGGTATTCATGGAAATAGAGAATGACAACAAGCACGCAATTGCGTACGGTTTCTCGCCATATCGAAAGTGTTTCCAGCCATGTGTGTTCCGGGTCCTTCACACCCCAGCCAGGGAGCCGAGAGCGCCCGAATACGGCTACGTTTGATGTTAGCTCCTTCCTGCTCCTGGACCAGGTCATACGTTGGCCAGTTTGCTTTCGCTTCCAGCCGACTTCTATGTGCGCGAACAGGACACGGCGAGGTTAACGATGAGTAGACATGCGAAGAACATGTCTAAGCCAATGGAGTCGGCACAGAGAAATTATGCAGCGCAGTTGCCAGCAAAGTCTGTCTGATCTGAAAATCCTCCATCGAACATCCTCATTACTAGTGTGATGTTGCCATCGTGCACCAGCAATGCTCTAAAGGCAGTGGTGATCAAAAACAGACAGCATCACAACATCCTTTGGGCGAACAGGCCAAGTCTCACAGTCATCCAGCAGAACTGTTCTCACTGTGGTATTGTAAACTCGGCCTATCAGAGATAGACTCAGATCGCCTCGACGCCAGAGATGGCGGAGATTGGCAAAAGCAACCCGAGCCTTGGAGACGCGCAAAGAGACCTCTTCGGTTAAACCACTAGCGCTAAGGCCGCTTCCGAGGTAAACGAAGTTGTCTACCACTTCCAATGAATGACCTGAAAGGGTAAGGGTAGGAGCAGCGCCTAGCCAGTCTTGCAGGAAGACATAGCACTTCGATGTTGCGAAGATCGTTCCAAACTGTGAGACAGGCACCTCCAACATACAGAGGATATTTTGGGCAGCCTGTGAGGAATTGCGGATTACGGCGATGTCGTTTGCATACTCCAAATCCCGAAGTCGGTCCACTAAGAAGCATCTCAATGACGCCGGGTTTGCAGTTCTTCAGAGCACTCTCCAGGATTTCATATATAGCGAAAGTGAACAAGAAGGGGATGCTGGACAGCTATGTCTCACGCCACTGGTGATACTAAAGGAGGGCGAAAGTTCGCCGTACACCCTCATTTGGCCCGAGGTTTGAGAGTAGATGGCTTGAAATATGGCGACATACTTCTCGGGCACGCCCCTTCTCAGTAGACAACACCAGAGACCAGCTCTGTCGACTGAGTCAAACGCGGCCCGTATGTCTAAGACAAGGATCGTTGGCCGGCCAAACGTCTAGAGACGCTCAAGTATTTGGCGGAGTGTAAATATGTGATCGATGCAACTCCGACCTGAGCGGAAACCAGTTTACTCTTCACGTATGCTCTGTTCACATAACAGGCAGAGCATCCGCAAAAGCAGAGCTGCGAGCCGCTTGGAAGCAACACAGGTGAGACTTATCCCTCTGTGGGTGGCGCAGTCAGTCCGGGTACCTTTTTGAAGATGGGTACGATATCCGCTAGGCTCCAATTAGATGGAATAACTTCAGTGACCCAGATTCCTTGGAGGACAGAAGTTAACTCCTGTACAAGTGAAGGGTCTCCATCTTTGAAAAGAGCAGGAGGGAGTTCATTTAGGCCAGGGGCTTTGTAGCGCTTTAAGAGGCGAAGCTCATGGGCAATCTCAGCCTCAGCTGGTGAAGAATCTACAAATCAGGGTGCGGTCTGAATTCGAAAATGGGAATTCATCGATGATGCTGGAAAATTAAACTGCTGCTCAAAATGCTCGGCCCAACGCCCAAGTCGGCGGTTTTTAGTAGATTGGCTCGCCATTAGTTTCGCACAAAACTTTGCCTACAGTTGGCCTTTT